CTAATATCTATTTCCTTAGACAATTAGTAAGACTATGAAAACTATAAATCATGTAAATTAATTGGTTTTGTCCAATAATCAATCATTTTGACCTTATTAAAATTAACTAACAATACATTCCAAAGATAGCACATCCTAAGAGAATAAAGGAGAGACAACATTTCTTCAAATTTTAAATACAACTTTTATACTTGTAAAACTTCAAATACTTTCTTAAAAGGCATCAAATGTTCATCTCATTTCTCCCAATAAATTAAAATATCATCAAAATAATATAATAAGTTATTTGACAAAAAGTTCGAGGATGTGGTTCATTATCATTATGAAAGTATTAAGGCTTCATTATGACTTTCTTATTGCTTACTAAAGTAGCTTTCTAGACCACAAAATTTTAGTTTAAAAAAGTTTTATACTAAAAAATTGCTTTAAGAAGCAATAAGAAAGTTGTCCCAAATGTATCATACATTAAAATCTTTATACTAAAAACTTGTATGATGATAATGCTAATACTTCAGAGCATATTGTCAATACAATGACCAGACAAAATATCCTTCAAACATTCTCATCTCCACATAAATATGATCAACTGTAAGAGAAAAAAAGCAAAACAAGATATTTGCACTAAAAACTAATCTTTTCTCCTTTGGAATTTATGAAATAATTCGAGAGCTATTATTCAATCAATATTGAACAAACCAAGCAGTACATTTGAGTCCCAACAAAACTTTGCAAACTATGGTTTTATTTAGGATAGCTTTCTTATTGCTTGTTAATGCAGCTTTTTAGTACAAAAATTAAAAATTTTGTACTAAAAAGTTATTTTAAGAAGCAACAAGGAAGTGGGGGTGTCAATTTTTGACACGACCCGAACTTGAAACGGGTCGGATTCGGGTTGAATAAATCAACCCGTTTTAAAAATTGGGTCGGGTTCGAATTGACACAACAACCTGAAATTGACCCGAAAGTGACACAAAAACTCATATTTGACCCGAAAACCCGAGATTGACCCGATTTTGACCCGAAAATCGAATATTGACCCGATTTTGACCAAAAAATTAGCAATTTTAGGTCAACTTCGGGTCATTCGTGTCGGGTCAGGTTGACCCGGACCCGAATCGGGTCGGGTTCGGGTCTGGAAACCTGACCTGTTTTTAAAAATGGGTCGGGTTCGGGTTGACCCGACCCGACCCGCTGACCCGAATTGACACCCCTACAAGGAAGCCATCCCAAACAAAACCTGTATGGGAGATGAACCAAGGTGTGACTAAGGTTCTTTTGGGACAGCTTTTTTACTGTTTTTTAAAACAACTTTTTAGTAAATTTTTTTTTTGAAATATAAATTTATGTATTAAAAAGTTACTTTAGAAAGTATTAAGAAAATCATCCCAAATGAAACCTAAGAATATTAAAAGCTGGGAAACTAGAAAGCGCCTATCAAAGATATTTTACTACAAAAGAAGTTCATAGCTAATAAAGCTGAAATTATATTAATAGTAACACGACCCCTATGTTACATTTGTTAGAGGATACAAAGGAAGAAGAGAAGAATATGTTGCAAAATTGAGAAGTTTAAAACTAATGCATTAAAGCTATAACTGTAAAATATAGCAAGAATATATCAAAGAAGTCAGGGATAAATATCTATGAAGGATACGTTACTGGATAACGATAAGCATAAAAAGGTGGTGAAATTAATAAAATTGCAAATAGTAGAAAGAAAGGAATTTATTAAGTGTTTCGGCAGATTTAGTGAAATCAAAATTATCAGCAAACGCTGCGTTGAATGTGAACTAGTAAGGAAAGATGACCAGAAAAGAATCCAACAATTGTATTAATGTTGGTGACGAGGGAAATTATGTAGAGATAAAATACGCAACTTGCAAAGCAGATTTAAGCAAAAGGAGTCCTGCAAAAAGTTTGGTCAGAGATCATCATTGCGATTAAAAGCCTTATTGTAGAATACTTCGGGCAGCAAAATATAGTTTTAAATGTATTCATGATATTAGACTGGACAATAGGCCAATAAGCAGTTAGAATTGTTAAAAAGGCAAAGAGATGAGGAGATATTAAAAATTTAATGAATTCCAGCTAAGATTTAATGTAAACAAGCTTAGTTAGTTAGTTTGTGTGAGCTCAGTGTTTTGCGTCTTGGCTCGTTAGGCAAATGAGCTATTTTTTTTATTGTTTTGACTTTTTATTTATAGATTTACTTGTAAAGCCCAATATGAACTATTCTCAAATATAAAAATATTTGAAACACTCATATACATTATAAAATATAAATTTTAGAATGCATATATGCATTTATTTATACAAATAAATATATATTTTTTAATTTATACAATAAATATGTGTTCATTTTAGTGTGGTGGGTAGAAAGACTTGATTCTAGTTTTACACCACTTATAAATTTTTTTTGACGTAGTGGGTGAGAATAACCTGCAAGAGAAGCAGAAAGACTTGACTAACATAGAAGGTTAGATGAAGAGGAATGTAGAGAACATCTATGTAGCATTTCATTTTCTTAAGTTTTACTCTGTACTGTTTTCATATATAAGGAGGAAGAAGATGAGTAGGTCACGTGGTTCATTGGGTGTAGCTGTCAGAGAGCGGTTGGAGGCAGGCTATAGCGGTAGTGGGTATATGCAGTAGTATGTGTTGACAGGCCCCCGCAAACTGAGTATCTCTGGGAAGGATGGTCAGTTTGGTGCGAAGGTCTTGAAACTTAGAGACAGCCAGTGGCTTAGTTAGGATGTCTGTAGGTTGGTCGACAGAGCTGATATGGAGAACTTCGATCTCTTTAGCTGTGATGTGCTGACTGATGAAATGATAATCAATTTCAATGTGTTTGGTTCGAGCATGGAAGATAGGATTTTTAGCTAATGCCAGGGCGGAGGTGTTGTCGTAGAAGACTTTTGTTCGTTGGACCAGCTGAGCGTCGAAGTCCTTGAGTAGCCTCCGCAGCCATATTATGTTTGAGGTTGTGGCGGCAAGTGCCCGATATTCCGCCTCTGTTGAAGACTTGGCAACTGTCAATTTCTTTTTGACTGACCAGGATATAAGATTGGAGTCGATAAATGTGCAAAAGCCGGTGGTGGATTTTCTGTCTGAGACGTCGGATGCCCAGTCTGCATCGACATAAGTAGAGAGTGCTAGATTGTTGTGAAACAGAGGAAGAACAAATGTAATGGTACCTTGTATGTACCGGAGAAGCCGCTTTAAGGCCTGGAAGTGGCACGGTTGGGAAGCATGCATATGCTGACAAATTTGATTTGTGACAAATGCGATGTCCGGTCGGGTGATGGTTAGATATTGAAGGGAGCCTGCAATCTGCTTGTAGAACGTGGCTTCTCCGAATGGTTGAGCAGAGGTGGTAGTGGATGGCTGCTTAAGTGACAGGGGAGTTGGAGATGGCTTGCATTGGAGAAAACCACTGGCTTGGAGTATTGCTTGAGCATATTACTGCTAGTCAAGAAGGTAACCTCATGAAGCAGGAGTAATACGAATGCCCAAGAACACAGAGGCAGCGAATGGTTCTTTGAGAGAGAAAAAGCCTATTTAAATTTGTAAACAGATGTTCTATAAATTGGTTATCATTGCCTGTTACTAACATGTCGTCTACGTAAATGAGTATGTAAACACGCGTAGTGCCGGTGGTGTAGAGTAGGAGCAAGGGGTCGGATTTGTTGAAGTGAAATCCAGTTGCTTGAAGATGAGAGGTGAGCTTTGAATAACATTGCCTTGGAGACTGTTTGAGACCGTAAATGGCCTTGTGCAGCAGCTTGCACACATGATCGGGTTGATGTGGATTAATGAACCCGGGAGGCTGCCTCATGTAAACTTCTTCCTCAAGTTCACCATGGAGGAATGCGTTGGATACATCCAGCTGAAAAATCGACCAGTTATGCTGAGTTGCAAACAAAGAGTATGCGAACTGTGGGAAGTTTGGCCACTGGACTTAATCTCGTGGTAGTTGATATCGGGTTGCTGATCAAATCCTTTTGCCACGAGGCGAGCTTTATATCGATTAATAATGCCGGTTGAGTCGAGCTTGATGCGGTATGTCCACGTACATCCCAGGATTAGAGCGTTAGATGGAGGTGGAACGAGTGACCACGTACCCTGTCAGTGAAGGGCCTCGATTTCGTCGGCCATGGCAGCACGCCAGGGGGGAAGTTTGTTGACTTGAGTAAATGAGGTCGGGGTTATTGGACTAGTTGTGGAAGCTGGGAGATCGAGAATTAGTTTGGGTTTGATGATGCCATCTTTAAGTTGAGTGAGCATTGGGTGGTGAGCTGGGGGGGG